GCTAGTGTCGCCAAATTAACGACGGTCTTGGTTCAAAAGATTTGCCGGGGTCTAGGACGTCTAGGTATATGGATGCTAAGTTACGAAATGTTTAGTTGAACTATGCGCGATAAAGCACGATGGTATTTTTTCATTTATTCTCTCATGTTTTACATAGAAAACTTTAGCAGTAATTTGGAAAATTGTTCACTGTGACTAATTTTCGCGGCTCCCTTTAGACTAGTCCGCGCCTCCCAGTTTGGAAAACGCTGACCTAAGGCAACACTTCCCAGGCTTAGCGTGTTAGAGGAAGGAAGTACATTAGTTTCTCTCTAGATTTTCATATAGATTAAAATCTTTTAAGTTGGAAAAATATATGGAACTGAGAACTACATTAATAAACATAGCTCTAAAGAAAAGTATCACTGAAATTTTAAAAATTATTTTCATTAAATGAAAAGGAAAAATATTAAAAAAAGGGAAAATATCTTAGTACATTCCTATACAACTTAAAAGGGGAGGAGAGGGAAGGGAGAAGGGCTAAAGGCATGAAGCCAGTCTCCAGATGGCGTATTCGAGTGTTGCGATCGCCAATTGTGGACTTTTTACTAATTTTTGAGGCCCCTCAGAAAGTGTGGGCCCAAGGTCCGTGCCTATTGGACCTAGGTGGTAATCAGGCCGTGACTCTGCAAATGATTCTGATGGAACTAAATGAAAACTTAATAAATAAATGCCTGATATTTTCAGGCTCCCGCTTCACTCGCATCGCTTAATTGTTCTTTTGTTTTCTTTCTTTTTTTAAGTTATTAAGTGTTAATTTTTTTCTTATTTTACTAGTTATTTACTGTTGGCTTCTTTATTTTTCTAGTTATTAATTGTTATTTTTTGCATTAATTGTTAATTTTTTGTGATTCTTTAGAGGATTTTTTTTATTGTTAAATACTAAATGTCAGCTTTTTTCCTTAGTTGTTATCTTGTATTATTTTGTTACTTATTGATTGATAGCTCTTTTTAATTTTAATAGTCATTAAATTCCCAACTTATAATTTTTATTTTAACATTTTAAGAATGTCAGAGACAGGACTATCGCCGACAAAGATGTTTACGCCGTCAAAGAGTGGAAAATTATAAAAAGTGTTGCTCGCAGAAACATTTTAAATGCTCATTGACAACTTAGAAAAGAAAATCCACATGAAAGTAACACTCAAATATGTGACAAAGTTGCTAAACTTACTGGTTGTTCAAAAAGTGTTTATCGTTTGAAGAATGAACGGAAGAACATCCAGTCCTTTAAGTACACCTGCAAAAAAAAATATTGTTGTTCATTTACGTCACACTAGAGCTGCACAATTGGCGATGGTCTAGGAAACATCTCTGAGGATTATCCGAAGACATGCCATTACAATTTTGATCCTCTGATATCGTGTTGAAGATATTGCCGAAAAATACGAACCTATAATTTTAAGACTGCCTCCTTATCACTGTGAACTTAATCCGATGGAATTTATTAAATAAAATTGATTAACCCGAGTTAATTGGAATTGAGTCAGATAAAAAGCAATGCTACGTGTGAAAATGAGACTTAAATTGAATTGTATTAAAACTCTTGTTATACTAGCCACATAAATACACTCTGTAACAAAAAAATCGACGCACCAAGAAGGAGTTGTCCGAGTGAAATGAAAATTGGTGGATAGGAAGACAATGTACAGAATAGTAAATGATTAAAATTTCAAAACAATTGAATAATTTATTGCAGAGTTACAGTAACAAGTTCAATAAGGTGTTGACCCGCCTCTAGCCTGGATACAAGCTGCCACACGGCGTAGCATAGACCGATAAAGCTCCCGGATGGTCTCTTGCGGTATTTCCTGCCAAATTCGATCCAATTGTCGAACGAGGTCATCAACATTCCGTGCCAGATGCAATCGCCTTCCCATCGGATCCCAGACATGCTCGATGGGAGAGAGATCTGGTGATCTGGCAGGCCAAGGAAGAGTTTGACAAGCTTGCAGACAGTTCATAGCAACACGTGCCGTATGTGGTCTGGCATTGTACTGCTGAAAAACCAGCCCAGGCACTGCTAAAGGAACGGTAGCAAAACAGGTTTTAGGATGTCGTCGACGTACCACTGTGCAGTAAGTGTACCTCTAATGACGACCAAAGGGGTCCGGTGGTCAAAGGAAATGGCACCCCAGACCATAATGCCTTGTTGAGGGCCGGTGTGGCGTGCAATAGTGAAGGCACGATCCCCCCTCTGCCCTGTGCGTCTCCAAACACGTCTTCGATGATCGTCAGGACACAGTTGGAAGCGGGATTCGTCGCTAAAGACTGTAAGTCACCAGTCGGCATCATTCCAGCCTGATCTGTTTAAAACATTCATGCATACGAAATTTCAAAGCAATCGGATGATTGCTTCTTGGAGCGTCGATTTTTTTGTTATAGAGTGTAATATAACAACTCAAAATTGTCTAAACTGTGTCAATTATGTAATTTCTGTGGAGGACGAAATGTGGTAAATAGAAGGACTTATGGAAAAATCAAAACTTTATAATTTCTTTGAACAGTGATTCCAGTGGAACGAGTGTAGAAGAAATGTAATCTATTGTTTTAAAAAATTCAGATTACATACAATATAAGCTTATTTTCAATTATTTTATGAGTAAATACATCTTGGCTTATAAATTTTGAATAAATTTTCTCTGATGAAAATTCTTTAATAATATTTTTGTATTGAATTGTATGAAATACTCCAATAATGCCATACTATTAAATTTTCTTTAAAATGATTCATAAATGAAACGAAAAATAAATAACAAATTTAAATCCGCATAGTAAAATTGCATTTGATTATTTAATTAAGAAAATATTAATGTCATATGTACGATATTTATTGTAGTTTATTTTCCCTTCAGAACGAATGAAAGAAAAGTTCCAAATAAACAGCTAATGACAGTCGAGCTTATTTGCTGTTTCAAAACGTGATTTAATTTATTATTTTTTTATAACAAAAGAAAATATTGTTCTCGCTTTATTCAATCTCCGTAAAGATTATAATTTTGTGCCTGCTGCGCCATGTGTAACTCTGAAAAATTATAAGCACAATTCGCTTTTTACAGGAACTTTAATCATGTGGTTTCGGAATTTTAATTCCGTTTTATTAAAGGGACTTTTAAACATCATCTGAAATAAAAATTCCTTAATATAAGTGTGCGAATCTTTTCGTTATAAATTAATAAAATGCATAGGAATTGAATTAAATTCACAAAAGGCACAAAATTTGAATCCGTAATTTTTTTAACATCGAAAGATTAATCAAAGCCAGTCAATATTTTAATTATTATTTTTAAAATACAAAGCCAAAAAAAAAAAAAATTTAGTAATTCTTTCTTCCATGTAGAAAAATATTAAAATATTTCAGCATCTTAAAAAATATTTCGAGACCAACTAATTATACGAAGGGAAGGGATTTTTCTACTAAGCCTCCTTTCACCCTCAAAGATCATGAAAAGTAAAGGTTCTGATATTTTAAAATATTTATTTTCTTTTGATGAATTTCTCCTCATGAGAAATTTTTGATTGAATTCAATTGAGAGCGACCCGACAAAGAGTTTCTAAAAGGAACTGTCAATTGTTAAAATATTAAAAGAACAAAATGATCACCACATGGATATATCAAAGAGTTCGTGTTGAGTCTAAGGAGGCGGGATATGGCACACAAGCAGCACGTATGTGGATAATACTAAAAACCACATGAATACTATTTGTGAGGATTATCTTTTTCAGGTAAGTTCTTTTGTTTCATAGAATCAAATATATTTTAGAAAAAAAAACTTACTTTTTATGATAAAAAAACTTCTCAGAAGAAATGTGATTTTCTTTCTTTTTTTTAAAAAAAAGAACAATAAATATTATAAAACACACGCATGATCTTCATGATCAATGATTTCATGCTTATGTTGACTTTCCTTCCCCCACAAAACACCAATGTGAGAAAAATTAATGTACATAAATCTACAAAAAAAGAAAGAAAAAAGGCTGCATACAAAAATAGGTATTTAAAGCATTTACGTATAGATTTAATTTAAAGCAATTATCTTTTTAAATTTGATTTTGTTTCGTTTAGGTTAAAAATGTTAATAAGAAAAATCTGTTATTTTAAAATCATAAGAAATCAGCTTAAATTAGTATCTCAAATCAATTATTATTAGAAATGCTCTTTAAAAAAAAGTCTTGTTCTTTTCTGTATTTCGTCTACTGAGGCCGCTCTATTGAGGTTGATTGTGACCAGTTAAAGCAAATCATTGATCAAGACAGAAATGTTTCAACACGAACTATTGAATTAGAGCTTGACGTTTGCCAAAAAACAAAGTTAAACTATAGTCTCAAACGCATAAATCTAACGTTTAAGTTTAACGACTGGGTGCCTCGCGAATTGAAAGAAGTGGCCTGTTTGGCTTTGCTCAGAGATCAAAGAAAAGAGAACATTCTGGACAGAATTGTGACCTGTGATGAAAAATGGGTGTACTACAGCAATACAAGCCGATGAAAGAAGGGTGGTCAGCAGTTTCGGTTGCAAGACGAACGATAACTAACAAGAAGGAGTTTCTCAATATCTGGTGGGGTTGTCGTGGAACTATCTACATAAGAAGTAATTGAAAAGCGGGCAGACTATCAACTGTACAATATACAGCAATATGCTAATCAAAGTTAGAGATGCCATTCGTGAATAACGAGTTCAAAAGGAAGGTGGTTCGCCCTCATCAAGATAACGCCCGGCTACACGCTAGTGCGATGACCAGCTGGACGCTCTACACGTTGGAGTGGGATTTGATGCAACATCCACCATACAGCCAGACATGGTGCCTTCGGATCACTATCTGTTTTCACACCTGGATCTTGATGATACAATCTTCCATTCAAATGACGAGGTCATAATTGAGGTTGATTGCTTTTGGACTCCCGCACGCAACAGTTCTTCGCAGAAGGGATAAAAAAGGTTGCCAAAACGCTGGCAGACCATTGTTGATTTGAATAGAGATTACTATTCTCATTAGCTTTACTGATTTTGTATGTATTTATAATTTCACAAGATTCTTTTTTTTTTCGGCGGAAAACTTTTTACTCAATCCAAAAATTTAATTCTACATTGGACAAATAGTGAAAAATTTTCATGCTGATGCCTTACAACTTGTAGTTAAAGCAATCTGTAAAATTTTTAAATGAGATGTTTTAGGAATTAAAGTAAATTTCCGAACTTTTTGTGAAGCATGTTTTCATGGTAATCTAATTTGTTTTTAAAATTTAGCACTGTAATGTATGTTTAATTTAATTATAAGGAAAATGATTATTAAAAAAATTAACTAACACTAGTTTGACAGACAAAACTAAATTCAATTAATACACATTTTTTATTTATTTCCAATCTACAGAATGAGGTAATTAAAAATTTCCCCAAATGTTTTTTATACACAGATTTAAAATCTTTCAGATAAATTACAATGCTGAAACACCGCCACCGAAAGCAGTTGCAGCTAAAGCACAACACAACAGAAAATGCACCGGTCACTATTCACAACAAACAATAAAAATTGCATGGCCAACAAAAATTAAGCATTAAAAATTTCAATAAGATATTCACATAATATAGAATTTAATTTTTTGATTACACATATAACAATGAAGTTTTAGTGAACAGAGAAATTTGCAAAAAAAATAATAATAATTTCAACATAAAACTTATTTTATATATTGCATCACATCATTTTATTTTTACTAAATTGTTTCTGTTTTTAAACCCAAGAAAAGAATTAAAAAAGAGTTTAAAGAATATTCTCTAATATATTTATAGCATTATACTCAATGCTATATAGGTTTTATGGACCATAGGACGAAATTTTTCTAGGACTTGAAGCACAAAGACACATTTTTTAGACTTTTTGATTTGTTGTTCAAAATCATAAATTCTATATAAATTTAGGGACTGTGAAATTGTCCTTGTCTTCTCTTTGAATACGACCTTCATTATACCAAACAAAAGGTCTATTGCATATAATCTGGGAAGTTTAGTAATGTTAAAACCGTTCTTTTAAATGAACAAATAAAAAAAAATTTCAAACATGTTTTGAAAGAGAGGCATGGATAACAGAAACCACAATAAAAATCAGACTTATCTCACTTAAGAATTTATGAGCAAAAGAAAAAGTTTAAACAAAAATCATGCTTTACAACTCCTTCTCTTTTAATAATTATAATAAATATTGCAAATGTGCAATATTTTAGAACTTAAAAATCTGAATAAAAGTATTGGAAAAAAAGTAAAAGAAAAAAACAGACAATAAAAAAGTTTTTCACAAAAAATATGTCAGAAAAAACTTAATTTATTGTGTACCATTTAGAAACTTTCATCCAAAGTAAGAAAATGCAATTAAACAAATTATGCTCAAAAGATAATATAGTAATAAAAATTATTAACAGTGATTTTAAAGATATAAGATGTTTCCAACCTTTCAAGTGAATAGTGGTAAAATATTGTTGGCACTTTTGGTGAAGCAAATAATGTAAATATATTTAAATATTGATACATCAAAAATCTATAGATCAATAACAGAAAAGGTACTAACAATTTTGAATTTGTAGAAATAAACTATAAACAATTTTAAAAACAAAAATAATGCAAATTTAAAAACATCTACTTGATATAAAATGTTCAGATAAGAACATTTTAGAAGTAAATGTATAAAACATTGATATAGTTAAACAATATATCAATTGGATATAGTGCAAACAAACATACATATAAAACATGCATTTTAATAATTTCGAATTTGAAACATTCAACTGAAAATTTATCTTCATAGGTCTTAAAAATAATTATATTAAAATGAAAAGTAATGATCTTGTCCTAAAAATGAACTTTTTCATTTTATAATAAAAATATTTTAAGATCAACGAGTAAATAAATTTATTTTCACTGTTTTTCAACTAACCACGCACTAAAGTTTGAAACATATTAAAACAATTGCGTAATCCCACAATACAGGAAGATTTTTATCACCGGAAATACATATAAATCTCAATCAGTAATATAACAACTTAAGAGCAACATGTATAAAACTAAGAATTTTTGGAAAAAATAGCCAAATAGGAATTAAAATGGTATCAAATTCTTTTTTTAAAAAAAATTATCAACTAAATTAAGCTAATAAAAAGAGACTTTTTTATTTAAAGAAAAATTTTGTTCAAGTTTTACACCAATTTTCAATGATCGATAGTTTACCACAAATTGTAAGAAAAAAAAATACTGTCCAATATTGGAAGATTGTATAGTGTTGGTAACGAATCCAGAAAATTTAATGCTTTTAATACATTCAATTAAATAAAAATTGAAAGTGAAAATCCTATTGGCAGATTTCCTGATCTAATATGTCTCATGGAGTTAATAAGCATATCTATGAAAATTAACTATTAGTTATTATAATTAGAAGTTAAGCGACAAATCTTTGTTTAAATGTCCCACTTTTTCTGATATATAATTAAAGCACTGAATTTTGGCTCATACCGGTATATGATTTTTTTTAAGCCTACTTCAAATGTTCTTTTTTAATAAAATAATAATTATTTAAATTTGGAGAATAAATAAAAACTTTTGAAAGGTATAAAAGAAACAGATAAATGAATAATAAACGAATGAGGCAGTGATTGGTGCAAGTCGAAACAGTAGTAGTGATACACTAACAATCGATATTTGTTTCCAATACACATATTGATGCAATAAAAAAATGTTTTACAATTATGACATAACATCTTTAATACATCCTACTAAAAGCATAAGTGCACATAAAAAGCTGGTTACACATTGTAAAAAAAAAAATATGTAAATAGAAAAGGAATGTGAGAGCACATCAAGTTTTGGAATGTTTTCAAAACAGATATTGTTATAAATAACAAACATTTGAAGCTGACACAGAGTAAGTTATTTAACTAAAAAGTAACAGAAATAGAAGACTTAAAATAAGTTTGTCATTTTAACAATTATGTGATACAATAAACAGGTATAAATCTAATAACTAATTTATAACAGTACAATTTCAAGGTTTTATTAACAATTTATTCTACTATTTGTCTTTGAATAGAAGAGTCTTGAAACTGAATCCAATAGTATATATATATATATATATAAAATCCCCAAATAATTAGAAATAAAACTAATTGCAAAAATTTGATTCACATAAAAGAATTTTACTTTAAAATTAATCTTTCAAAATAGTGTTACTATGAAAAAAATCAATCAAAAATATATAGTATTTTTAGTTCAACTAGATTATGATACAATGCAAAGAGGAAAGTTTGATGAGTTAAAATAAATTTTAATCAACATAAAATTTTTCTATAAACGTGATATAATAAAATATAAAAATTTGAAATAATGTAACTTTAGACAAAAAGATGTCACCAGCAATAAAAACCCATTTTAATATGAAATCAATTACAAGCTATAAGGGTAATTGAAAATTTCAGTTAATTAATAGCTTCTTTAATTGTTATACTAACTTCTTTAAATAGTTAATAAATAACTTCTGTAATTGTCTTAGTAAAGTGGTTAAAAACAAATATATAGTTTTCAGTGTTATTTTAATAAGGATTATAGGTCTCAACTAACTTTAAGTTATTTGGGCACATTTGTACAAAAGAACTTTTCTATAAGTATTTTTATCCAAAAATATGAAGAAAAACTATTTTTCTGCGCAGAAAAACAACTAAATCCAACACCAAATCAAGTTCAGAATAGACAATAAAAATAAATGTTAGTCTAATTACAGAGTGGATATTTGTCTTAAGGGTGTCCAGGATAAATTATTCAATTATAAAATTTAATTGTCTCAAAACTTTTCTTTTCAAAGGCAATTAGCAACCAAAATAAGGTTTTTCGAAACGAAGTGTAGAAAAGAAGAATCAACAATTATTTATTTTGATAATTTTGTTTCTACCATAATAAAAACAATCAACAAAGCACTAATTGATATAACAAAATATTTTGGCAATTAAAATGAAAAATGTCTAAAAAAAATCAACATTTACACATATACAAAATTGGCACCAAGAATGTTGTAGACCCAATAGCACCAGTCTTGCATAGCACTACATACTAATCATCTGGTTGCCTTGAGATATACTGTGGATTGAAATTGAAGAGCAACATCTTAATAGTGATGCATAACATAAACAAGAAATTATCAATTTTGTCACAGATATATTTTTTTAAAAATTTAATCCTATTAATTATTAACTTAAATGACTGATGGCTATTTTAAAAAGGACATTTTTCACCATGACACTGTAATAAAAACATTTTATAACAACAAAACCTTTGAAATTCAATTATTATAAATTTTCGTAACACAGTTAAAGTTTCTTAATAGTTATTAGTGATCTTTTTTAAAAATATTTCATTTCTTAGCAAATTATTAGGTGCAGAAACTTATATCCTTACTGTTTCATAACATTTATATAAATGATTGAATACATAATTAATTAATCCGTAAATTGCTCAAAAGTCGAAATAATTATAATTTCTAATGCTAAATTTGATATAACATCTGGAAACAAAAGAAAAAGTTAGCAGCTATGCTCCTTTTATTAAAACTTTGCTCAATAGTTCAAAGTATCTATTCACCATCTTTGGGCAACAGCAAATGAAAGAGTATGTCACCGGTACAACGAATTTATTAAAAAAAATTGCAATGAAGCAACAGTTCAAGATGAAACAATCAATGATCCCCACGAAGGAGTTCCATGAGAAGGTTGAAGCTGGGCATATCACCAGTTCTTTGTTTTGTGGTCAATGAGTCCTTGCCGACTTGGCAGGCTCGCTCAAGCTCAGGAAGTCTAAGCAATAGTTCACCAAACTTGCTTGGTTGATGTGGATAATGAGAAGCGGTATAATTTTGCAGAGCTTCAAGAACTTCTTTTTGACAAGCCCGAACTTTGTCAGGTTCTTTTAAGCCATGAGCATCTGAAATGAAATAAAAATAATTACACAAATTTATGTACTATCACGTTACACGGTTAAATTTGGCATCTGAATAAATTAAATACTATATTCTAAGCATAAAAAATAATTTACTAGTTTTAATAATTTATAAATTTAAGTAGTACCAAAGTATGTACCGAAATTCAGGACAAAATTAAAAAAAGAAAAGAAAAAAATGAAAGACTCAATTCAGCTTACAACTTTATTTAATAATTTTAGAAGTATACAAGTTAAAAGGATTCAAGGTTGGAACCAACCTTAAACACTCTATTTTTGATATCGATAGCTGGAGTATTTGTTTAACTTCTTGTGAATATGGTCTTGCAGATATTGAACAAACTCATTCATTTGAGGTTTTAACACTGAGAAAGGTTTTTGTTTATTCAGGGTTGCCACTCAAATCTGGAAAAAAAAATTCCTTGTGTTTTCCCTTTACATGTTATATGCAATATATTAAGAGGAAACAACAATTACTGTGCTCTTCTGTGAGCAATATTGGGCTAACTATATTTATCAGTTTCAATTGCTGGAAAAACAGCTGAGCATACTTAAATAATGCTATGGTAAATGAAATAGTTTAGTATAGCTGAAATATCATGGTTAAATATCCCATAGCTTACGCTTTGAGTGGTCACCATTTTTTAAAAGATCAAAATAAAAAAAAACAAAATTCCCTGTATTTTCCCAGTTTGTAAAGAAAAAAATCAAAATTCCCTGTATTTTCCTTGTTATTTTAGGTGATTTTTAAATTCCCTGTATTTTTCTAGTTTTCCCTGTGGAGTGGCAACCCTGTTATTAAACTGAAACTATAGTAGGTCCATTGATGAACGTTCATTTGTGCTTTAACGTTATTTACGCATCCTTAAACTTCCACTTCAAGAACATGAAAGACGTGTCAAAAATCAATTTATTAAGCGATCTTCAACTGCCAAACATACTTCAAACCCTAATCACAGGTTCGAATTTTCATCTGCTAAAATTAACAATGTTTTTCAGCTACTGACTATGACTTCTGAGAATTGTTCCATATTTTGAAAATTTTAATAACGATCTTTTTATCATCCCATTGTTTCTTAATAATAGTACATTTATTTTAATTTTTGTATCATGTATTCCTAGGGTTCACACATATTATACTGATATCCCTTCTTTTATTATTTTGCTTCAGCTTGATCCTCTATCTCTATTGATTATACCATTTTTTCCTTATTGCATCTTGTTTATTGTGTGAAAGGTTCTATTTTGTATGTAGAAGGAAATTAATAGTATGTCTGATTTTGTGTTATTGTTTAAGTTAATTCATGTTTTTTTTTGCTTTATTCATAAGCAATATAAGGCATACTTCATTAGTTTTGACCTAAAAGGATTCACCAAAACAACGAAATATATTTCCATATGAGAAATGTATTTAAATTTTAGTAAGTAAAGGGAAAAAAAATTAGGTGTGATTCAAATGTCACTATTTTCATTGTCACTATTCATTGTCACTATTCAAATGTCACTATTTTCACTATTAATATTGTTTATTTAAATAAACAAAAGCAGCTTTTTAACTTTTTGCTCATCCCATCAATACATGAGTAAGATGTAAGCGTTGTTACCAAAAAACTATTTGTAGGGTTTGTAAAACTTGAAGTTTTAAGTAATAATATCATTCACATTCTTTTATTCTAACTGTTTACATCCTTACAATGGATTAAGCATAGAGCCTAGGACATCAATGCTTATAGAAGATCGTATGGTAATAACCGTGTTATATTCTCATTACACGTATCAAGTAAAACAAAATACTTTGTCCACGAGATTGGGTTGCACCATGACTTGTTTTAAAATGCTCTATATATTGCTCGACTTGGATGGCTAAAAGTAACTGTTTGTTTTGTTCATTTAAAGAGCAGAATGCTTCTCTATTTCTAAGTAATTATTCTAAATAAAAAATCTTTAAAAAAATTCATTAATTCCAATGAATATGCATGAGCACAACAAAAATTCTTCTGGCATTTTAATTACAGATTCACCAGTTTTCTTGTTTTGAAATCTCAGATTCTTAATAGTAAACCATGAAGTAGAAAGAAATGGCAGGTTAAACACGAGTTAAAGATTAGAGATTACAAGAGTCTATATTATTCTCATTTAAATGGAAAAAATTCTACAATAAATGCTCAAAATTTAAAGGAAAAATATTTAAAATACACGATCCTCCTCAGCAATATTTTCAATAAAAAATGTATCAGTTTAGTGAAATTCAATGTACTATGCATATAAAACTCCATTCACTACACTGCATATTTATAAATCAAGCTAGAAATTATAAATAGAAACAATGCTAAAACACTAAAAAAATAAGAAATATAAAAAAATATTAGGTATTTTATTTTAAACTTCTATTTTAAAGTTTTTTGAAGAAAAAAAAATTCTTACCAGATGTCAATAGAATGATAACTTTCAATGATACATATTCATATTGATCTACTTGTAACCGTCTTAAGTGTTCAGTTAAGTTAAACATACGATCAATAACAGGACTTAAGCCCATAGCTTGAGCTTGTGCCATGGTGACAGATTTTTCATGGGAAATTCGTATTTCATTTGGTGTTGACATAGATCTGTAACAGCAACTGAGCAGCAATAGTTCACACCATGAATTAATTAAAAGAGCGATTTGATCATCCATCTAAAAAAAGGAGCAAATTAATAAAATAGTGTTAAAATAGATAATAATTCATCAGTTTTATATGTTTCTTTTTTACTTATCAAATAGAAAAAATCAAAATGGAGAACAAGATTTTAAGCATAATTGATGGTAACATATAAACAATTATTGTTCTTTTTATACTATACAAAGTTGCAACTGTTTGCTAAAGAGGATGAGACTTATAAATTAAATTGAGTTTTCTAAAAAGGTTAAGACATCTGCCATCGATTCATCATCATAAGAAAAACTCCCACAGTGAGTTATTCTAAAAAAATAAGAAGACTAAAAAATATCCTTTAATATTTAGCTTGTTTGTGGCAGGAGTATAATATTTTACTGGCAAGCAACATTCCTGTAAATATTTTATAGATTAATAAACCATGACAATCGTAGAATTATTAGTTCTCTCCAAAACAAGCTAAAAATGAATTGTTATACATCCAGTTTTTCTCACTTACAGGCAAGGTTCCTTAAGGGAATCATTACTAATTTGTAGAAGAAAAAAAATTTCAACATGTTTTCCAAATTAAACTATAATATTAACATATAAAGGAATTAATATATTAATCCATTAACTTAAAAGTTTGAAGAAATAATTGCTAAGTTAAAGGGTTAAATAAAATATACATTAAATTAAAAAAAAATTCTCTAAATATATTCTACTCAGTAACTAAACTTTATTTAAGACTCTTCTGTTAGTTGTTTTGAAATGTAATTAACTATTATGTGGAAATAGTTTTTAATAAGAGACAATTCTGAATATCTAATATTCTGTGCTTATAATTGTAATTTAGTTTAATATTTTTTTATTCAGAATATTTTTAATTAAGGTGTTTCACTAATTTCCAAAGGAAATTAAACATTGTATAGAATCCCTTGGTTCACCATTTTAAAATTATGTGATTACTGAATTGTTAATTGGATTACAATCATATTAATTAAACTGTGCAAAAAATACAGAAAAAGAACATATATTATGAATTGTGTTAAGAAATATTATTTGAAAATAAGGAATAGACTTACTCCTATTTCTCGAAACAATGGTAAACTTTTGCACCACTTGACAATTTTATACAGTCTATTATCGGCAATATTACATAAATTACTTAAGAAATCTTGATCACCATCAGATAATTTACAAGGAGTTTGATTAGAAGATTTTGATGGTTCTTTATCTGTATAATGCCACAGATGCTCAACAGAAAGAATATCTTGAATAAGAGGTGGGACGATTGGTTGATTTTGTTCATCTGGAGAATTGGCACCAGCTGACTCTAAATAAATAAAAACAACAAAATATTAGACAATGTTGGTTTGAGAGACAAAAAACATTTAAGTACAAAATAATACCTAAATAAATAGCCCTTGGTTAAATCACAAAATAATATTCCATCACAAAATATTTTGGGTCAGTTGTTCAATGGGCGTTATTAAATATACAATAAAATCACATAATATTAATATTTTCATATTTTATATACATAACTTGTAAGCTAAAGAGACATGTAATAAATTACTGGCAAACTTCAATCTTAAGTTTTAGATTTTGATGGGCTGCTGGGCCATATGCTGCGCACTGGTGGATGAAATAAAATTAAGAAGAAGAAAAAAAGAAGTTTTAACTTCTTTTACTAAGTAGCATGCTAAGAGTAAATGAAATTAATTTAATCATAAATAAACAAAATAACATATTAATAATTTTTTTTCAATCTGATATTGTATTTCAAGATTACAGCATTTAAAAAAAGAAATTGAAATATTATGATTTTAACCAATTCCTTCTTATAAGGGTGGTGGGCTATTTTTTCATTATTATACTTATTTTCCTTTCATTTACAAATTATTCAACAAAAAATAAGCACCTTTTAAGCACTTTTCAAGCACTCAAATAATATTTTTTAGCACTTTAAAAAAATATCATAATTAGGCAGAGTTGGAAAGTTTTTGACAATTAAGTTTTATCTTGTTTAAACCGTCATGTCTAAAAAAAAACTTTTTGGCAAAGTTTTTGACAATTGTTAAAAATCATGAAATTTTGAATCGTGTAAAACGAATGGCGTTTTTATAGCCTACGGACTGACAATACGGCAAAATAGATAGGGGTTGAAATAATTTTGAAAAATGTTGAATAGAACAACATGAACTGTGTCTTTTTGCATAATTTAAAGAGAAAATCAACATAGTAAAGGAAAAATCTCATTTTGAAAATGGGAAAATTAAGCACTTTTTAAAAACACCAAATGAAAAAAGCACCTTTAAGAGCTTTTAAAAAACGAAAATCGAAAATAAGCACCTTTAAGCACTTTTTAAAAACGCTGCACACCCTGAATTAACATTTAGTTTGTCCCCTATAAAAATATTTTCGAAAATTATTAGTCCAATACTCAATGTAGCACCGGAAGAAGAATGGGGATTGCTTTGTTTTTATTTATAGAAAGTGCAGTAAATTAACAAAAAATCATTTTATCAAAAAAACAAACAAACCTTTGGAAGACCTAGAGGAAGATATATCTTGTTTGCTATGGCAATCACTAGGAAGTGAAGATGGAGAAATACTGATATCACCCATGAAAGGCACACGATCATCACCAAGTGGTGTAGCAGGTAAAGTGTATGAACACTGATATGTGCTACGGCCGCCTCTAGTCCGATCTTCTCGAATAGCTAAGGGTAACAAATTTATAAGATATCATTACATAGAAATAACAATTTCAGAGTTGATAAAAATCAATTTAAAAAAATATATATTTTTTAAAATTTAAACTAGATTTATTTCCTTTATTATTTTTTTTATTACTTTCACCAATCAAAGATCTGATTAAATGTATAAATACTTAGTATTATTTAATCACAATACTAAAACTGAAAAATTTATAACTATAACTAAATAATCACTGCTTAAGTGAAACCATAGTTATTTTCATTTATCGATCTTATGAATTGTATAACCAAGAGACCAATTAAACATCAAATAAAAAATTAATTAAGATCAAAAAACATTTTAATTTAAAAAATCAATTATTCAAAATTAATCTTGGCAGGAAATTTTTTTACTTCATTATTTAAATAGATTAGGAATTTTTAATTATTTTGTAATACAATAGAAAATTATAAGTGAAAAATTTACACTTGATTATTTACTACACTTAGTCTTCTCTCACTTTCCTTATTCTCAGGATGAAACCCTCCTTATCAATGAATTTAAACTTTGATTAAATTATAAACATTTTAAAATGAGAAACAAAGCTAAGTGGGTTAAAGATTAAATATTTTTTTTATTTTGATCATTTAATTCATGCATATAGCATATTTTCCCCTTATTCATTGTTACATACTTTTATGCCTACTTTTAAAATAGAAACTATGAGCAACAAAGTCCTTAATAATACATTCAAAATATCTCATGTAGATCATCAGGCCACTTTAAAACACAACATGTAATCTGATGGTATTATATTTAAATGTTTGGAAATTTAAATTTTAAACTATTTCATTCCCACTTTAAAGTTTGGTTAGGTTGCTAAGATTTCTATGCATTTATTATAGTCATTATGGCAGTTAGCAGGCTAAAGTAGATTAAGTATTCGCCTAAAAATGAAATAGGAATAGTGGATAACTATAAAAATTGAGCATCCTATAATGTTATAATAGTCTCTTATTAAGTTCAATAACATTTATTAAACAATACATATAAATTTAGTTACACATTACCTTCTAATTTCATACCCATACGAAGACATTTATTGAATCTACATGCAGGACATTTTTTTCTTGTGCTTATAGAAACATGGCAATTGGCACCCCTCAAACAAACATAATTCTTCTTATTTTGAACTGTGCGTTTGAAAAAACCTTTACAACTTTCACATGAGAAGATCCCATAGTGGAAGCCAGAAATGCGATCTCCACATATGGGACAAGGTCCACTCAACAGCTGCTGACGAGATATCCCTGGGGCTCCACCTATATTTAAGGGATTTTGGGATAAATCACCAAGTAATTGCAGTCTAGTATCTTCAAGATTGTCACTGGATGGTCTTCGTGTCGGACTTGAAAAATCACTTGCGTTGGATTCATCAGAGGCACTGGAGTGAACTGAGGCACTAGATGCTGAAAGTATAATAATCATTAAGAAGGGAATTTTAATTCAATAAACAAAATACAAAAATCTTCTTTATAGTTTTACAGATAGGAAATAGAGGTGAATGATATTATTGGCTTGATTATTTTATTTTTAAATCTCTCCTGCTTAGTGGTCATTATAGCATGTTTGAACTTGCAATTAAAAACAATTTCTGAAGAATAATAAAAATAGGAAAGATTGAATAGTGTTCTAATTTATAACTTAAATAAATTCTTTTAAATATATTTTTATATTATTTTTACACTTAAATATCTTACAAACAAAATAAAAACCATAAAATAGAGAATTAGACATATTTTTAAGCCCTTAATAAAATATTCCTGAAATATTTAAACACTCACACCCAATGTAACATCTTTGCACCTTTTAATGTGCAGAATATTGTAATTCCTTCTACTTTGCAAGATTCAAAGTTTAACTATTATAGAGTGAGCGCAACAGGTTCAAAAGTGTCACACATGTTGATCTTTCGTCAGAGTCAATTTTTTTTTTCCTTTTACAATAGATTTAAATTACTTTAAACTTACAAGAAAACACGTTTTCAAAGGTAAGAAAATATGTGATGGATTAAATAATATTATTATAATATTTTATCATTGAATATCTTACAAAATAAGATTGGAAGCTAAAGAGTAGTGTATAATAATTTTTCAAACACTTAATTTTGATAAAATAATTTCTGAATCACTGAAATTCTGATATTTAAACAATCACTATAGTTATGTGCACATGTGCTTTTAATATACAGAATATTGTGATTTGTCATATTTTGTTAGATTCAAACGATTACGATGTGAATGTAGACTTAGCAGATTTAAAAGTATCATACTTGTTGATCTTCCTTCAGGTGTTGGATGTTGAGATAATGGTGATATTTGGCTTAGCCTTGTTTCTAAAGCAAGATGATCCTGAGACACATACTGATAAGATGGAAGTGCAGGTGAGGAGCCATCAAGCAGACATGCTTGATCAGGTGTGGTGGTGCCAGGTTTCTGAAGACCAGGAGACACAGACACGCTATAAGGACGATGCCTAGATTGTGATGATGCCATATGACCCGGACTGCGGGCAGGCGAAAAGCTCTCCAACTCATTACGCCTAGTCTGATTGGGACTCTGAGAAGGAGAAAACATTGGCCCATCCACAGTGATGTGCCTTCCCTGAAAGAAACAAAAAGTTTTAAAATAAGTTTAAACAAATTAGAATTGAGGTAATACTGCATTAAAAATTTAACTTTAATTTGTAACAATTACAGAAATCTTATAAAATAAGCATATGATTTGAAAACAAATGATTTATCTTAGAAAAAAGGATACAACAAGCGAATCAGCAAATGTAATAGATTCAGAAATGGGAATCATCGAGATCATTATAAGACATTTAGATGGCAAATAATTAATGATTTTCAAAGGTTTCCAATAATTAATAAAAAATTCAAAGGTTCTTTTTTAAAAAAATAAATAACAAATGGGACCATAACTTACAAATAAAAAAAAAGTCAAACTTTTACACAGAAAAATTTTCTTTTTATTTCTTTCCTTGCTAAAGTGCAGATACAATAATTTTTGCTACAAAATTTAAATACAAAGAAAATTTTGAAAACTATAACTTGCAAAAGATTGATTTAAAATATTCAATAACAGAGATATTACTCTAGCAACAATACTGGCCGTAGAATTTTCCCTCATAGCACTTCAAGAAAGAGACATGTAATTTCTAAAAAGTCACACTATGGGTACAAAGCACGATAAGCTACAAGCACAGGCATCAAAATGCTGCACGTGTCTAGAAATTTCTCCTGTAATATGTTTCGTCTTGCCTGTAGCATGATGTACTAATTGTAAAAAACCGTGGTTGCATGTGGAAAATTATTACTAAACCCCTAGACAGCTGTTTCTGACACTTGAAATACTTTTTAAGCTTCTGAAAAGACGCTGTCAGCTGCCTTGATTCTGCAGTAACCCTAGATCTTCTCTGAATATCCCAGAGAATCAACTTTGTGTAAAGGATTCCAGATATTGTGTACAGAATTCGTTACTGGACAGAGCTTTCACAGAAATACTAAGATTATATTCCAGCATGCTTTATATTATAACTTTCTAACACTATCACACTATGCCATGCTGCATGCACACAGTATCATATTCGTCTCCAGTTGAACCCTTAATTTGAGTTTCAACCCTTCTCACTTGTAATATACTGATTTTTCAAAATTGTTCTTAAATTTTACACACCAGTATATTTAATACTTCAAAATTAAATTTAAAATTAAACAAAGTGAGACATTTTGTATATGTTCAGACACATGAGTGCAAAATATTATAATTCTCCTGATTGTTTTAAGCTTATGTAAATTATGCAGAGAATAACTCAAAAGCTAATTATCACATCAAAATTCTAATTTACTTGTAAAGGACTTCCAGTAGGTGAGCAGGCTGATCCATCACTACTATTTCCTGTGGTATGCCGGGAAAGAACTGGGCTCTGGGTATGAGAATATATTGAGGAGGCACTACTAACATATCTACCCATAAGTGGGCTTTGGCTCGGAGAATAGGAAGATCGAGAACTAGAGCTGCTTGTAGGACGGGTGAGGATAGGACTGGGAGTTTGACTGTAGGGACCACTATAACCAATTAAATTTCGGCTTTGAAGGGAATTTTGATGATTCACAAGAAGAGATTCTATAAAAACAGATACACCAAAATATTAACACAATTACAAAAAAATGCATAAAAATGATATTAATAAAGATATTGTAAAATAATATTCCAAGAACATATAACTAATTAACTTTGGCAAAATTTGATCTCTAAACAATGCTCAACATTTTACTTAAATAATGCCTCACTCTTTTTCTGTTATTAAAATATATTCTATTTTTAATTCTCAATTGTAAAATCTTCATTTGTTATAACTAAAGCTTTCCCTTTGTGACAACTACTTGTTCTTCAAATTTTACCATAGATTCATAAAGGTGCATGGAAGAATACATCCCTCAGACAAACTAGGAAGGCACTTAGAAGTTCATATTCTATCTTTTTCACTTTAAAAGTTGAAAGTGTTTATGTGCTTTGTGTGGAATGAATATTTTTGAATTTAGGGTTAAATATACAATGCTTTATTACATCATACCCTTAAGTCAATAGAAGAAGTAGTGCTACTTGGTATTATATTAATCAAATTTTTATAGTGAATGGTAACTCAAATGTATCACTTTTAGAAAGACTTCTAATATCTGTTTTTGAATGCAAACAATAATTAAATCATATCTTACATTTTTTAATTTAAGCAGGGTTCCCACTCAATTTTAGAAAAAAATTCCCTGATTTTTCCAGGTATATCAAGAAATTTTTTATGAAAATCCATACCATATTTCATCAACACCACAGTATTTTTCATCAGAAAACTTAATTTTTTTTATTTTTAATTTGTAATATCAAATAATAGATTTTGTGGGGAAAAACATATAATATAATGAAAATGGAAAAGTTTCACTAAAAAGTGGAATTTCATAAAATAATTGTAATAGATGTTAGAATTATTTAAATCAAATTTATGATTTTTGTTATTGACAATTCTAGGGCTGGTTATTTTCCAGGTATGATATACGAATTTTTCACATTTTTAGTTAAAAATTGCAACTTTCCCTGCTTTTTAAAGTTAAAGTAAAATTCCTGACAACTCCAGGATTTCCCTGTTCTCCCTGACCCATGGGAGCTTGTTTAAAGATGTTCTTACTTTGCTCCTGATGCGATGAAACGGAAAAAGACTATATTCCATTATTTCATATTAAAAACATGATTACAACAACTTTTAGGCATTGACAACTTTTCATACTGTATCATTAAACAGATACGTTGCTATTTATCAAACAATTATGATAAATATATTACTTAACACAGTCAAATTTGCAACATACTAATAAAATAAATGACCTTTAACTCAGTATAATAATGCTATTAAAATTTCAAGATTAATAGAATAGAATAAAATTTACTACCTTAAGTATTAAAAAATGGAGATTAACAAAACAAATGGTAATTATAAAACTTTTATAATGTTTGACTTATCATTAAACATTTATGATATCTGAATTTAGAAAAGATTTTCCATAAGTAAAGTAATTTCTTAAAATAATCTTAAAAATACAAAATAATAATATTTCAAAGGTGTTAGATTGAAAGAAATAATGACTTTTTTCTTCAATTCATTAGAATTTTAATGAAAGGATTTAAAAGTCAATTTAACTTCATCTACTTATTAGAGTGATGATTAGTGTAATAATTATGACGGTATCAAGAGTAATCACCTATACATATAGCCAATGATTTCTGGTATTTGTTATGGTTTTCATGCTCTTAAAACATCAATACGATAAAAAAAAATTTCTTTGATCCTTCATCCCATTCATTACAATGAAAATTATGCAAAAACTACCATTAGCTTCATAGATATGAGCTCTTAACAACAATTTTAAACAAATTTCTTGTTTGGTGTTAAAAAATTTAGAAGTATATCTGATACCAGAGAACGAATAAACTAAAGATTTAAGGGCTTAGATCAACTTCAAAATTCACTTTTATCTAGTTTAGTTCTGAATTTGTTTTTGGTGCATGCTTAGGCTAAAAATGAAAAAAGTACGTTGAGTTATAGTTTTCAAAAAAGAGTGGTTATAAAGGCTACGGACGGTTAGCCATAAGAGAAACATAATTTTTTTATTCTTAAATTTGGTTACTTTATTTGGAATTGAAAAGTATGATGATAAATACTGATGCAATTTTTAATAAATGCATATCTTTTTAATAATTTTTTCAATATATTAATGGAGGAAATATTTAAAAAATATTAGCTATTTTTCCTTTTTTTTAGAGGCATGGTACTTAAATAATTTAATAAAAATAACTAAAATATTAAATATAATATTATTGACTGGATACATACATAACGATCATTAAAATTAATTTCTTGGAGCCCCCTTGACACAAGGGTTCCGCAGAGCACCATTTAGGAACCTCTGCACTATACTACTACAGTTTAGATCGAAGAACAGATGATAGTAGTAATCACTCCACCTCCACTTCGCACTATCTAACCACTCAAACCTGCATCGACTTTTCTGGATCTTCCACTTCCACCGAAATTATATTACATTTTATATCGGTCGTGGAACAGCCGACCCAATTTTGGGTTTACGACTACTAATGTTCAACTCTATAGCCTTGTAATTTTTAACCAATCCAGAAGACAAGGAAACTCCTGGATCAGTACTCCTAGAAGTATTGATTTGTTATGGGAACATGGAGAACTTTGGGACTCGACAGATTTAATGTGCATTAGTCATCATTTACTACACGGGAAACACACAAACTCTTGGACATGGGCCCAGTGCCCTACCAGCCAGGCTATCCCGGCTGAAATCATATTACAGCAAATTTCAAACCACAAAGACAAAATCAGAGAAAAGTCTAATTGGATCAAACACACAGACTTATGCAAGAGAAATTGAATTCCGGCCCAGACCATGCTAGGCGAAAACACAGTACATGTGCAGAAAATTTACTATAAAAGAGTACAAATATGTATTTAATCACATGATTTGTCAATTATTAATATATCTTTAAAAGTTCTTTTTTATCTATGAAACAAAAGTGTTACCTACCATAAAGAGTACTATGAGCTACAGGACGGTCATTAGAGTTACTAGTTGGAGTGAGGGATGTATATGGTGAGGGTGAGGCAGGTTTAATAAGACTTATGGTGGTGTGAGGTCCAGATGAACTTCCAGATAAAGAGTCAGAGTTTCCAAGGCTATTTCGAACAGTTATGGTACTTTCAGAAACTTCACACGTTTCATTATTTTCATTCTAGAAAGAAAAATATTATTTTTAGGTGGGTATGACTGGGCAATAGAACATGTTTAAGTTAAGGGCATCCTGGAGTCAGATTCTATGTTTCCAATCTTCCATGTAAACCAATGGAGATAAAAATACCACATTCCTATTAGGTCAATAATTAATGTTTTCAGACTATTTTTTGTATTCTTTTATTCACTAAAATTCATTTTATGGTAATTAGTTACTAAATTTTAATTTTTAAGAATTTTTTAAATTCTGTTAAACTTTACCAAAACTTATCAGTAGCTTTGAAAAAATTATTAAAGTAACTAAAACTTAAACTAAATGGTAACTAAGTTCCCTAAAATACATTTTAATGAATATAATGAAAAAAATATTTCAAAATATTTATATTCACATAATAGGAAGCTGGCATTAATATAATTCTCTGCTTATGTTGGGAAGCAAGGAAAATAGAATTTTGTTTACAAGACACTCTAGTCTCAATTTATGTGGCTATAGTTGAAAGAAAATGTATACTTGTTTAGCATATTTCCAATTAATAAATTTTGAAATTTTTATACATTCCAGCTAATGTTTTAAAACTTAAAAATATTTTAATTAATGCAAAACTTTTGAAAGATAGGATATATAACTACAGAATTAAGTTTGAACACAACAAAAACTTTTCTTTCAGGGGGAAAAAAAATCTGTAAAGGAAAATAATTTTTAAAGTTATGCAAAAAATAATTTTGTAATATTGAAACAAAATTGAATTTTAAAATCCATTTCTAGCAAAAAATTAGCAATCAAAACTGTAGAAATTCTAATAAAATTTAATATGTATTGCCAATATTGCAACTTTTGATAACGCATTATTATTTTCCAGACTAACATGCAAATTAAATAACAAATAAATCACCTGAAATAATTTCCTTCTGGATATTTAGGGAGAACATTTTCAGAATTGAAAATTTTCTTCCCCCTTTAATCTTCTTGTGATGTAAAAGAAAAGAAAGAAGAAATCTTTTCCCAATCTGATTCCTACCTTTTTTAATTAATCTATTTTTATTTTTAAGTGATTTAAAGAAAAAAAAGGCAGAATAGTAATAAAAGTAATTAATATTGTGATTATTCATAATTATTTTATAAAATAAAAAAAAACATGTACAACTCTTGTTTCTTTCATTTTTAATATTTATACTTATATTTAATAATATGGAACCCAGAAGGAAATGACTATGCAATTTATATGTATCTCATGATAATCCTATAGTAAATTTTTACATGTAGGAATGTATATTTATTAACCGCTTCCCTTACCAATTTTTTTGGGAAAAAAAATAAAAAAATCAGCGTATTTTTTTTATTTTATCAATAAATACAAGGAACTAAAACAAAACATATTACACAAGTTCTAAGCTGAAATTATAATCTTTTTATGCGTAAAAAATATTTAATTTATCATCAGTCTATCCCAAATTATCTCGGGCAAATAAAAAAAAATTAAATATTAGTCTTTGTATATGTTCACATCTTCATAATCTGAAAAATCGTCTGCATTACTTTCACTTTCGCTCGCGAACGCCATTTTTTTTCTTCAATTCTTTCTTTTATGTAAATTTATCAACCATCGTATATACAATTGCACAAAACACGTCTGCAGTCCCACAAATAGCAAAACTCCCAAACAAAAATTGGCAAACTTCCAATCACAGCAGATTATTATTATTTGTGGTTTTGCTTCCGGCCGAATAAAAACGTGATAAAACAAAACGTATTGAAACCAATGCCCGAGTTTACTCGGGATAGTAGGGAAGTGGTTAAACACATAATTTATCCCTTCAGACATAAAAAAATTTTTTTTTAAAAAAAAGTTATTTTCAAAATCCTTAAAAAAAATAAATAAATAATATTTTAATTTTAAAACATGTAAAAAAAAGAGAGATTTTTATTTTTAGATTTTTATTGATATTATTTACTATTAATTAAAAAAATTAACATAATAAACTAATTTAAAATTATCAAAATAAATCAAATTTTTAGATTAAAATTTTCTGAAGACTTCATTTTTATAGGAGATTTTACATAGGAAACGTTTTCGTCTTTTCCTAAAAAATCACATAAGCTACAAAAAAATTTAAATTACAAACAATAAGCAGCTTAAAAATTCGAGTTTTTTTCCACTTTCGAATTTTTCCTGTTTCTATAACAATACATTAAATAATTTTAAATGCCGAGTGCAAATGCGTGGCGCTAACTTCCGAAAAAATAATTTATATTTACAATGAAATATGCAGAAATAACTTATTTAAATGAGCAATTAGAAACTCGCGCGTCGTAATAACATCATAGTTAAAATAACAGGATTGTTCAAAATCACGTGAGAAAACATCACGATTATTCATAATTATTTTATANAAAAAAAAAAAAAAAAAAAAAAAAAAAAAAAAAAAAGAAGAAATGGAAAAAAAAAACCCTCCTAAATATACAAAGAAATAAGCACGAATAAAGCGCGTCAATAAGTAATTATTTAAATGCGCGATTTAAAATTCACATTCTTACGTCATAAGAAAAATCGCAATTTTTAAAAATCCATTGCTAGATCTGTGGAAAAAATTTTCGAAAAATAACTTGGACAAAAACAAAGCGCACCAAAAAGTGATAAGTTAAATGTGCGATTTGAAACTCGCGTGTCGTAATAACATCGTACTAAAAATTATGTGATTTTCAATATCATGTAGAAAAAAATAGCAAAAGTTATTTAGATTTACAATGAAATCGGCATAAATAAAGCACGTCAAAAAGTCATATATTAAATACGCGATTTATAACTCATGAGTCGTAATATTGTATTAAATGTATTGGGATTTTACAAACCACATGGAAATTGGCAGTTATAAATGTAAAAAAAAAAAAAAAAAAAAAAAAAAAAAAAAAAAAAAAAAAAAAAAAAAAAAAAAAAAAAAAAAAAAAAAAAATTTTTTTTTTTTTTTTTTTTTTTTTTTTTTTTTTTTTTTTTTTTTTTTTTTTTTTTTTTTTTTTTTTTTTTTTTT